GTTTAATTATCCTTGTCTGTATTGTGCTGGCAGATCTCATTATCAGTAGTAAACCAGATTGAACACTGTCTGTTCTAAGAAGACAGAAGAAGGGTTAAAGACTTACTGTAGAAGCATTATATGTTAATGAGAAGAAGCTCAGTCTGTGCCTCAGTTTGTCCCTCTACTATCACTCTCAACTGCTCAGTGTGGCTTGGAATCTGAGAATAGGTCTCCATCAAAATAATATCTTAAAGAAAAAAAATATATTGTTCTCATTGTTTCCGATATGCTGTGTGAGAGGAACACACAAACATTTAGAAGGGTTTTCTCAATCTGACTGCAAAAGTGCAAATACACATTAATTATAATGACCTAATTAAGTTCCCATATAAACCTCACATATGACTCCAGAGGGCCATTAGGAAGCAATAAATCTGTACAACCTGATAAGTGTGCACATCAGTCACAGATAAGGTACTGTACAGAGGGGTCTTGTTGAATATCAGGGGTGTGAAATTCCTATTGCCCGACGCCCGGGACATGCAGTTTCGGGCGCCGGGCGAGTAGTTTTTATGTACATTTAGCCCGGCTCCGTACAAGCAGAGCTGAATGTACATTGTGGAGCCGCGTTTCTGCCCACACCCCCCGCCGTAGTTTTCGGGGTAGGGAAAAAAAATTACCCAATGAAATCTGGCCATGTCTCTCCCAAACCACCACTCCCCTTGCTATACTTACCTTTCTGCGAACAGTCCTTGTCTTCACACTATAATAAAAGTCTTCACACTATAATAAAAGCTGAGAAAAACCCAGACTTGTATCTCTGTACTGAATCGGTTAGGACTGACATTCTCTGAAACTCTATCATGGTTTGTATTTACATATATTTTGCTACACATACCATGATGCTCTGTTAGTGTAACAAGTTTCAAGTTAAAGTAAAGGTAGATATTAAAAAAACACAAATTCATGCATTAGAAGATTAAAGCCCAAATTAAATCTTACACTGTTGTATGTCTTTATAGTCCTGTAACCCCGCATCTTATTATTATTATTATTGGTAACAGATTTTTTCTAATCCTATTAATTTGAATTTATTCCTCTATATAAATGAATATTAATGCATCTCAGACGTGTCCAGAACGGATATAAAACTATTCACAGCCTGATTTCGAATGTAATTTTCTGCTTTTGCCTTGCTTCCGAGCCGTAGAACTTTGTACATTAGCCCTAAATGGGGATCTTGTCTTATCTTCTTAACTATGCATGGAATGGTCCCTTGAAATGCTAAATTATTACATCCATAACTCCTATAAGCCTTTATTATTTAGAAGTAGGGAAGCACTGATAATGGTTTTTCGGTATCGAGTACCAGTGCCAATACCGAATACTGGAAGTCCCATTAGAGAATGACTCGTCGCCCGACGTCCTGATTAGCCGGGAAGCTGGCTCTATGCTCCCTCCTTTTCCAGGTGACGAGAAAGCATGGAGCCGGCTCTCTGGCCGATCAGGAAGCCGGGGGGTGAGTCATTACCTGCCCCTTGGCTTCCTGATAGGCTGGGAAGCCAGCTCCATGCTCCCTGGTGGCTTGTAAGCAAGCTGCACTTGCCGTGCAGCTTCCTGATTCTGGAAGTTGCGGCATTGGGATAAATATTGGGAGCATTTGGGCGAGTATGAGTAATCGCCCAAATACTTGGTGGCGGTACCGATACTAGTAACGGTATCGGTGCATCCCTACTTAGAAGCCTGCAGTCCAATTACTGAATTGTAGTCGACATACCTAGTGTATTTTTTTTTTGTAAAGAGGTGTGCAAACTTTTGGCGTTATATAAATACTGTATTATAATAATATTGTTTTACATGAAGTGTAAGCTTGTATCATCCTCAAAACAAATTGGAGCCATGGAAGTGGGGCATTTCCCTCTATAATCATTTAAACACCTAGAGAAAGGTACACAATTCTCTATCCTTTAAAAATGATTTTGCCGTTTTGATAGTTAAAGGAAAACAAAGGGCTAGTTCACACCAGCCACAGTGCGTTCCACCAGGCCCCTTCCCACCCCAAAACAAAGTGAGCCAGCTGGAATGCGATCCAGTGTGTCCCGGCCCCAATCAGCCTGGAACGCACTGTGGCTGCTGTGAACAAGCCCTAAGACCTTTATTTTATTCTTTATATCCAATCTAACTTTTCACATAAATGTTGAACTCTGTATGCACACATGACACTGGTACCATAGAGCTTTATAGCTTTTGTCTTCAGACTCTCTAAATTATTGAAACTCCATACGGCCCTATCTGAACAAGCAGGGGTGGATGACTTGCGTAAATTTGAACGTTTTTTTTCTCAGTACTGAAGATTAGCTTTTGTAAACATGGGAATAGCAACACAGAGACCCAACTGTTGGCTGGCAATATAAATATGAACTCTTCATGTATGATATTTAATGCTTACCTGACAAAATTACCTGACAAAATTTAATCCTAAATAAAACGAACAAAATACACAATCCGTATATATTTATTTTAAGCTTTAAAATGAGCAACCTGAGAAAGTACCAGCTCTAGTCTGTTCTTGCTGGCACTTTTAGTGCAGTTTACTGTTCCTGGAGATATAAATTTACTCTGCCAGCATAGTTTGTAGTACTTTCCAGTTTTGCCCTAAAATTAAGTCCATTTTGTAATTTCTGCATGCTGTCCTCCTTCTAACACAGATAGGTCAAGGTCAGCTTCGCACTTGTCTAGTGCATTACCACACAAATTAAATTATCTAACACAACTAACACGCATTAAAATGCATGTTAAAGGCATTGCATTAAGGCGGACTGTTGATTTTTAATCATTTTTACTCCCCAAAAACCTTTCTCTGTAATGCACAGCATGGCAACCTACTACTAAAATGAATGGCATCCCAGTGCACCAACACACGTAAGAAGGTGAACCTGGCCTTAAGAATTGATTTTATCACATTTAATTGTGAACTTCATTGTTATCTTTGTTTTCTCGCATAAAGGACATTTTATTCTGGGAATACACAATGAAAGATGAAAAACTCTCCCCCAAGTAATAACAAGCCCCGGGTTTTCAGCAGATTACATTATGACAGGCAATACTTTTGTTCTGACAGAGAAAACTGAGTTCAGTGACCGCTAGAAAGGTACTTTTGCCTGTTTTATGTTCCTTAGAAGACAATTAGACTTTAGTCTAGAAGAGGGTTAAAACAGTGATTTTTTTTTTTTGCGGGCTGTAATCAAAAACCCAATTTATAGCACACGGTAGAGAAAAAAAATGCCTGCCATCCTGCTGCTTGGATTAATGGTAAATCTGGTAAACTAAAATACACCCAACTTACATACTAGTTTTGTACCACCTTGCTGTGCGATTAGTCTGCAGGGGTGAAGAAAATCAAGAAAAAATATTGACTTGAAGTAGGAAATGTATTTTGACCGTGCAGCCAGCATTGATTACTGGACAGCTGGGGGACAGGGTGTATGGTTTCTAGTGTCCACAATATCTCTCGCCAGGATGGAAGACAACCTTTGCCCTGTACGGTAATTGTTTAACAGACTTTCGGCAGACTGCTGAGATGGTTATTTATAGATAAGATCCATATGCGCTTCCATTGTTATCTTTCTCCTACCAATATATTAGGCAGTGTTGACTCACAAAACAACTAACCTGAAGGTTACCAACAGCCTGAGCCACAAATACAATTACTTTCTTTAAAGTTACATGAAGTTCTCATGCCTGAGACTAGTGGTGTCATTATGCAAACAGAAAGAGGCATGTCAGGCAGGGTTAACAGCGGCCAGTTTTTTTACTTGTTCTATGGGTAGATAGGCAGAGCATCCATGGCCAGAGGGAGAGGACATGTTGGCCAGATGGAGAAGGCAGGTTGGCCCAGAGTGAGGGGAAATGTCGGCCAGAGGGAGGTGGCGTGTCAGTCAGGACGAGATGAGGTGTGCATCCAGAGTTTTTACATGTTCTGTGGGGAGGAAGGCAGAGCACCTGTGGCCAGTTGCTGCTTAGTTGACTGGAGCAGTGTCATTGTATTTGCTTGCTGCTGGAGTGGAAAGAGTGGGTGGAAGATGGAGCACATAGAGTGGATAAAAGCTGAAGAGGACAGAGTGGGGGAAATGGAACAAGCAGAGTGAATAAAAGTTGGAGGGGACAGAGTACACCCTACTCTGTGGGCAGAGTGGAGAAAATGGGGCAGACAGCATCAATAATATGCTCTGTTCTGTTTCACACCTTATAGGTTTCAGTCTGCAACCCTGTTGCTAGCATAACAAGGTCCAGACCAAAGCAACCTATAAATGAAGATACTAAATACTTATGTTTCTGGTGGGTGGCGAATAAACTATTTGTTTTCTTGTATGGCTGCCTGGACCTCTGCTATCTGAAATAGTAGATAGTGTGCCCCCTGCTGTGTGGCTTGGTTTCACCCAATAGCCCTATGTCTATACTGTGTCCTTTAGTGACATAACAGCTGGTGGACGGAACCACAGAGACAAGTGGGGGACATGCTATCCAACACACCCCGAAGTGTTGAATAACAACAGTTCTTGCAGCTGTACAAGAGAGCAAAGATTTTACTCACTGCCCACCAGAAACAGAGGTATTCAGCATGTTCATTTACAGGTTGTGTTTGTTTGTATCTGTTTATGCTAGTGACAGGGTCACTTTAAAAGAAACCTTTACTGAGAGACATATGTATGCTTTCATTGCTTACTACCTCGATTGCCAGTGCATCCACTATCAGCCAGTCAGTGCAGACGGAGCAGGTGTCCCCATCCTCCGCAGTCATTGTTTGCTAGGACTGCCAGCATTCCTTGCAGCCAGTGATGTCAATTGATTGCCTGCCCCCAGCATTACAGGAGGACGGAAGAACTTTTTCCGTCCTCCTGTAATGCTACTTTGCAGAGGATGTTTCCCTATAGCTTAGTCAATGAGGTGAAGCTCTGCTGACTTCCATCTCCCAATCATGTGCAAGAAAATATACTGTTTTTTTTTGTATTTTCCTTGCACGTGATTGGGTATTCTTTGCAAAGTGAAAAATGAAATTTCACTTCATTCACCAAGTTGTGGGAAACTTCCCCTGCAAAATGCAAATTCCCTTGCAAAGTGAACACCCTATTTGTCTTAAGTTAATCAACCCGATGGACTCATTGTTCCTACTTTATCTTTGTAATATAAAATAAGTAAAAAATGGTGGTGGGCAATTCGGCCATCCCTTCTGCTTGCTTCAATAGCTGAGCTATCCGTTCTGAGTAAGCCAACTCATTTTCTAAAACAGAATGATTCCCAGAACAAATTACATTCTTCCATGTGTAATTGGTTTGTCTCCTTGCCGACACTATAATGCCTTTTTAGAGGTCTCTAGACTCTAATGATTGCCATACATTCTTATAAAACGCAATATATAAACATATATGATTACTTGGTCAGCACAGTTATTTACATCAAGTAGCTATGATACATTATTACAAACATTACATGATAACATTCTAAATAAAGCACAGATCTATAGATGATAGAGAAAATAGATGCTATTTATTGAGATTAAGTGCCTAATGTATGTATTATGCTTCTTCCCTCCAGCTGATTGGAATGTTGCTGGCGTGCTGTCTTTCCCGGTTCATCACTGCAAATCAGTACGAGATGGTGTAACATGGTAAATTTGGATTTGTGCTTTTATCAAGGCGCCTCTTGCTTCCACCTTCACTTACAAGCTCTAAATCACATTTGCTTTTCAATTGCTGAAGCGAATGCTGTGATTTCAGGCTAATCAATTTCAGCTGGTAATAACGTCTCTCTGCTTATTGGCGTGTGAGAAGCTTGCACATACAACTCATACAAATCACGTATTAATAGCTTCTCATCTCTAGTGGTATGAGGCAAATCAGCCAATTAAAGCAGAATTCCAGCTTTTACCAAAAATACAAATGTTCCAAAGCTACCACATTGTATGTCACCACTATATATGTTCATTGTAAATATAAAGAGAAATAATGACACACCAGGAAAGGCATTGTTATTGTTACCTGCAGCCTTCTTGCCCAGATCAGCTCTATTTTACCTGCCTTCTTTTCTCTTGATGGAATTACATGTTCTTAACCCAAAAAAAGCAATTTGTCACAGGTCAGTGAGAGATCACAAATCAGTAATCAGCAGAAACAAAAAAAGTGGCCATTATTCATCCTATACAAAGTTCAATGATTCCTGCATGTTGAGTACTGCGCCATATACAGATATCCACTAAAAGGTCATTAACATATTTGTATCACAATAAAGAAAACACAATGGAGCAAGCAAGTAGAAATTTTAGAGTCGCATAAAAAGTTCAGTTGACAATAACTCATTATGTGCACTTCTGATAATACACTATAATATATATGTAAGATTTTATCTCTATAATATGTCCTGCTGTGTGATGAGCCAATGCAATTATATTGGTGACCTTAAAGAATTATCATATGTATTAATATATCATCATCTGATTAAGAGATCATTTCGCTCTGCACATCAATCTCTGTCCCAGGGGAGCTTGCCTACAGAGACTAGAGGACATCTAGCTGTGAAGATTGCTTTTTTTGAACAGTTGTTGTATAAACATTCAAGTCTGCATTGGGGAAACTTGCGTCTTTGTGCCCTATGGAGAGGGGAGCAGGAAAACAGCAGGCCTAGTTTGTCATGAGGAAAAACAGGGAAAGTGCTTCCCCCTCCAAGTGATTGTTCCCCATTCAGCCTTCAGGCATTGGTGTAGATGTGCAGAAATAAAAATGTTCCCTGAACCACATGTAAACAAAGAAGTTACTCTAATGTCTGTAGGCACCTGCAAATACAAACATTTGCAGCAGTTATTTGTTATGTGCTTACATTGTGGGAGGAAATTAGGGCTCCTAGAAATAATGCAAAGACAAACAAACTCCAGGCAAGATATTGTCCTATCTAGTGAGTATACAGCAATTGGTGCTGAGTATACCTGTTCTTTTTCCCACTCACCCACTATCACTGGATTGAGTTTACAGTACCTGCACATGTAAATCTAGCTTTTCCTGTGTTGCTTTCTTAAAGTGTATCTAAAGTCAAAACTTTGTTTACTATATTCAGAGTCGCCAACAAACGAAGAAGAGTCCAACTGAGTTTTTATTGGTGAGAATAAAAGCGTGCCAACACGTTTTAGGGGCAAACACATACCCCCTTTATCAGGGCTTAAACACATTCCCAGTGGTTGCTTAACTTAAGAACATCACCTTCAGGTGCAATTCAAAAGGGTAAATTACAATGATAGTGAATATAGAATATGAATATAGGCACATGCAGCCACTGTGAATGTTTTTAAACTCTGATGAAGGGTCTGTGTTTGCCCCAGAAAAGTGTTGCCACATTGATGCTTTTATTCTCACCAGTTAAAACTCCATTTTACTCTTTTTTGTTCTAATAGACTTCTACAGGGCCCCCTCCTGCCCTCTGTGGTGTGCCATGTAGGTGGTAGTGCAGCCACTACAATGCAATTGAACCCCTCAAACGAAACCTATACTTGAACCATAGGACGTTTACAATCAAAGATCACAGCACCACTCTCTCGTGCGCATGTGTATAGCTATTATATCCAAGCAGCCGTGGGAGCCTGGCTACTTGAGTACCTGAATGGGGACTGCTGCTGATTGGCTACAGTCATGGTACAGCAGACAATTTTCCACCCAGCTTCTTCAAAATGTTGGCAGATTCCTGTGAGTTTGAGCCATGTATGGCCTGCTTGTTTCATCTAGTGGGAGACAAACAGCAAAATCAGCCCACAGGGATTTTAATTACTCCCTACTCTAGCCAAAATAAATAAAGAATGTGTTTTCTTTAGATATACTCTTCCACACCTTTTGTACTTTTTAATGGTGTACAACTTCTACACTTCAGAAGGCACTGCCTTATGCCATTTGGACAATACTCACACCAAGGGATTCATTTATAAATTGAATTCAAAATGAATGCATTCTGAATTTAGAAAGCTGGTCGGCTGACCAGCGAAACGTCTTAAAGAAAAATACGGCATGTCCAGTTGCCTTGATTTATTAATTTTTTTACAGCTATACCATGATCTGGATGAATGAGAACCTTCACAGACATACTTCATTTATAAAAAGTTCCACCCAATGTATAGCTGGGTGGATGTCATTCGCATGGCACTGGCACCCTTAGATGGCATTGACCAGTATAGGATATTCCTTTACTCACCAGTGCCATTTAGTGCTATACAAATGGCATCTGCTGGCTATAAGTTTTATAAATAAACCCCCAAATAATGCCTTTGTGAAGGTAGACGGTATTTATTTTGCTGTAAATATTTAACATGCTTTACTTGCATATGTAATGTTGTATTTATTTATTTTTTCCCCTAGGGGCCAGCAGTTTCTACATCAGGAGCTGATGGAAATGTGAAGAATTTTACAGAATGTTAGAGCACACAACACATCCACCAACCACTCTGTGTTCCCATTTTGTAGTGTAACCATCTGTTTCAGTACAGCTGTGCCATGAAGAGTAGCCTCTGTAGTGTCTAACTGCACACTTCCTCCTGGGGAAGGCTTTTCGTATGATGGCACGCTATTATGTGTGTTCTTTAGTCATACTGTAGTTGTAAAGTTCCTATGATAATCCATTAACTGCCTCGACCTGGCTGTGCATGCAGTGGCTGATACAAACAAAGGGACAACAAAGTCCTTACCAATGGTTTATTAAATGTTCCACGCATTTATATAAATCAGTACATGGAAATCAAATATAGCGTATCTAATCTTTTATATATATATATTTATTTACAAGGCATACTTATTTTTTTTATTTTGCCGTATAACACATACCGATAAAACAATAAAGAAGAATAAATCTGTGATATGACAATACTTGAAGAGTAATGTTGAAATATGTCGTGCTTTGAATAGGATTCAAGGGGGCCCCACGAGGCAGCAATCTGGATCCTAACTCTGTGCTGTATGCCTAATGCTTATGATCTTTGTCTAGTGAATTTTTTTGCTTCGGATTCCAAGAACATGTGTTTCACTGTTACTAAGCTGTTGTTGCTTACTGTGAAGGCAGTATAATGATGCTTTTTAAAATTATCTTTAGTGTTCAACTAAACCTAATCGTGCTGTCATGCCTATCTTTCCTCTCCTCCTTGCTAATGTTACCTCCTTTCTTTTCTCCCTCATGACACTTTGGAAGTGCACCAACCAAATGTTATATTCAGAACAGGATTGAAGATTAGGAAAGAACAGAAATGGGAAAATGTTCAAACATTTTTAAACAGAAATAAATGAAAACTGATTTTTTTATAATGTCTCCATCTAGCATGCTGAGAATAAAATGCTTTGATATTGTGAGCATTTGTGATATACATATTAATAAACTGAACTACGACAGATATTTGATTTGATTGAGTTTGATGTTGGCTATAAGTCTTTGTTGACAGTTTTTTTTTTTTTGCTGTTTCTTCATTGTGTCTTATGCATCAGTGGGGTTGATTTACAAGATGTTCACTTAGCAAATTGAATTTTTACTAAATGAAGCAGTGTTTAGATCAATTATAAAATCATGTGCAATAAGCATGCACCGATAAAAAAAATTTCCAGACCAAGTAAGAGTACCGATACTTTTTGTCAAGTACTCACCGATACCAATTACCGATACTTTTTTAGAGTCGTGACATTTTTTTCTAAAACAATACTGACTAATGATTTTAGGACAGCGGTGGAGCACCAGGGCCCAGTCACAGCTACAAAATTCTGCCACTGACTCCAGGCTGTAGAGGGACTACAAGTTCCAGCAATCCATTATACAGCAATGCAGAATACCACAAGCGATAGAGGACTAGAAATTCCAGCAATAGTTACATTATACAGCAATGCAGAACAATATGAAGCTAAATACTCTGTGTTGCTCACCAGGGCTGTATGCATGTCTCGCTGGGGCTGTGTGTGGGTCTTACCAGGGCTGTGTCCTGTCATACCAGGGCTGTGCGGGCAGCGAGTGTCACTATGGCTGTGCAGGCAGCAGGTTTCAGCAAGGCTATGCAGGTGGATGCAGACTGCGGGTGTCACCAGGGCTCTGTGGGCGACGGATGTCACCATGGCTGTGCAGGTGGATGCACGGGGTGGGTGTCACCAGGGCTGTGTGGGCGGCAGGTCTCACCATGGCTGTGAGGGTGGCGGGAAAGAGGAGGAGATGTGTGGCTGGACCAGCATTATAAAGAGCCACCATGAAGTCCCCACAAGGCTGCCTTGAGGTCCCAAGCAAGTGAGAATCTATTTAAAAATGTAAAGCAAACATTTAGTACTTGTACTTTCTTGACTACTGGATACACACAAAATACTTACTGTGCAGCTTCTGGGCATTAGAGTTAAGGTGCCCATACACTGCATGATTCTCGTACGAGAATCGCGGGAAATCCAGCGATCGTACGAGAATCGTGCAGAGTGAATGAAGGCGTGCGACCGTTTCTACTGTACGGTCGCACGTCTTTTGTCTAAGGAGCATGCTAGAAAACCAGCTGAAAATCTTACGATTTTCGGCTGGTTTGAATGATGTTCGGGAGACAAATGCTGAACGGGCCGGTGTGCGCACGCGGGCTTGCGATGATCGCAAGTACGATCTGCCTGTCCAAGATGGGCAGATCATATCCAATATATATATATATACATACACAAATCCACACGGAAAACAAATTAATTCTACCTCCTGTTCAATGAAGTAGGTCTGCAAAAATAATTAAGTCTATAAAAAACTTGAAGCTACTCTCAGATATGATATATCATATACAGTATATGATACACATGCTCAGCCATATCTTTGTGAAAACACCAATGATACCTCCATTCAAATAATATATACATACAGAAAATCACTCAATGCTACCTCCCCTTCAATGAAGTATGAGGTGTGCAAAAATTATTTCATAATTTAATGTCTATTTCATGTCTATGAGAAAAAGTGAAGCTACTCTGAAATATATCATACATTTCATTGACAGAATTTGCCAGGCAAGATTGATCCCCAGGTGATCTGGAGGGGGAATGAAGATCTCCTGATATCATTCATCAAAGATCTGAATATAAACAATAGGAATTTAAAATTCACCTATACTCAAAGTAATACTAAACTTTAGTTTTTGGATCTTTTAATAGAGATCAAAAATCAAAAACTAACTACAAAGACATATAGAAAAGAAACCTCAGCAAATACACTTCTTCATGCAACAAGTCACCATCCCCCTCCCCTGAAGCAGGGTATCCCTACAGGTCAATTTTTAAGAATAAAACTCAATTGTAGCGAACACATGGACTATATTGAAGAGTCAAAAGACCTGTACCAACGCTTCAGGGAAAGGGGATACCCACACAAATTAATTAGAAAGAGTAGAATGAAGGCGAATCAAAGACCAAGAAAAGATTTACTGCAAAATAAAGAACTGAAAACGGCAGACCCAATGAGGGAAGAAAATAACTATATACGTATGATAACTAAATATGGATCTAATTGGGAAAAACTAAGACAACTTCTAATGAAACATTGGCACATCTTTGATCTAAGCCCATCACTATCTAAAATAGTGGGTCCTAGACCCCTCTTAACGGCCCGACGCTCGAAAAATTTAAAAGATAGTTTAGTTAATTCAGAATACACACCGAGCTCATTGAAACAGACACTTAAAAATAAAAAAAGATTAAAAGGGATGTACCCCTGTGGGGGCTGTCAGATTTGCCCCTACATAGATAAAACAAAAACCTTCATAAATTCTGAAAACACAAAATCTTTTAATATAGTGAGCAGACGGGTTAATCCTCGTTTTTTTGTACAAGATTGATCCCCAGGTCTCACAGGGCCTTATAATGTATATACATATAATCTGATTATACATTAAAGCTGTTATCTTGCACTTTATTTGGCCGAACCACTTTTAGAACCTTGTCATGTTAAAGTAATAATCTTTGTTGTCGAAGAGGATGAAGAGAAACAGAAATCCTCTATAACCATCATCATGTGAAACATGATATACCCAGGAACCCTATAGATGTACTTCCTCATTGGTTATCTATGTAGGAGACTGAGGCACGGGCATGCAATTCTAGAGGAATTCTTTAATATAATGGGTCTTTGGTTTGAAGGTGCATGTAGATACCTTTATCGGTTACTAGAAAGGACATCTGAACTGGCAGGGAAATTGAGTTTTCCGAATGAGCTCTACGTAAACAGCAGGGAAAAGGGGAAAATACATTTGCAAATTTGCTTGACAAACATATCTAAGGTGTTTCTTGAGTAGTATAATTTCATAAAAAGTATAATTACCCACTTTTCAAGCAAGTTCTGTTACTTCTGTTTCTTGCATTGTTCCGTTAATTGGTGTTAATATATTCCATATTAGTTCTGCTGAATTGGCTCATGTAGACAGGCTTTGTTTTTTATAGTGATGTTTTTCTGGGTTTTTGAAAAAACAATGTGCATTCTACCTTCAACAATACCAGCCTGGCACATGAGGCGTATGAGACAAATGCATAATGGAAGAAATCTGGAGAGGTTTGTAAACATTCAACCATTTTCTAATGATTGGACTGTTCTTTAACCACTTAAATGAGAACTATGGGGTAAGTGTCTTCCCCCATAGTTCTCTTTAGAGTCACGGGAGGATTTATCTAATCTCCTCCCATGACCCAAAGCTCAGTATATCGCGGGCTATTGAGAGCGCCACACCAGGGATGGATCCTGACAATACTGCCTGGATTCACCCAGCTGTGTGAGTGACAGCTAGCTCTGCCTATCCGTGCACGCCCCCTCCACCGTCCCTTCCTCCAATCAGTGCTGGAGGAGAGGGGAGGAATCCCTGCGGGGAGCAGTGACTTGCAATAGAGCTGACCAGTTACAGCTTCTTTGTCACAGGTCGGCTCTAACTATGAGGATGAGTGGAAATCACTAATCTCATAGTTCTCCTTTAAGGACCATAGAATGTACCTGTTTGTCCTAGTCCTGAAGTGGCTATACCAAGACCATGACTGCGGCTGCAGCCAAGATTTTGGTATAATTTTTTACAGCAGGCAGAGGACTTTTGTGAACAAGTGAAGTGAGCGGCTGTAGAGTCACCTGTTCATCTGTACAGGCCTCTAAGGGCTCAGTCACACTAGATGCAGTGCGTTCCGGCCTGATCTTGGCCGGAACGCACTGCCTCGCATTGCGGCCGGCTCACTTTTTAGTGGTGTAGGAGGGGGCGTGGCGGGCCATTCAAGTGAATGGCGCTGTAGCCACACCCTCCGGCCGCAATGCGATCCACTGCACGGGATCGCAAAGCACATTGTGCCTGCGGTCCAGCCCTGTGCGGTGCGATCAAAATAGTGCTTGCACCTGAATGGCCCACCACGCCCCCTCCTACCCCACTAAAAAGTGAGCCGGCCGCAATGCGAGGCAGTGCGTTCCGGCCAAAATCGGGCCGGAACGCACTGCATCTAGTGTGACTGAGCCCTAAATGTGCTGAATCCTGTGCTTGATTAGCTGCAGTGGAGGGCAGGGAAACTTTTTATGAAAACTTGTGACGACATGGTGATGAGTTTATAAGTTAAATGTGCATTGGCGATGAGTTATGTTTGAGTGCGTTATGCTGTGTGACCTGGTTAGGGAAAGACTATCAGCACCCCTCCCCCCCCCCTCGTTATCTCCCATTGTACTCTGAGGGAGCTCAGAACAATGACATTCTGGCCAGGCTCTTGCTATGGCTGTCTGGAGCTCGTTAGCAGGTGGACCCCTGTGGTGTTATGAAGACAGAATGTCCAGGGAGGGGACGGGGGATGTGATGGGATTATATTCTGATCTGATCACTTTCTGTATAAAAGTTTGTGCAGTTGTTCAATAAACCAGAGTTTGTTTACCCTACACTCAAGCCTTGGCTAGTGACTGGGGAAACTGGGAGCTAAGGATCTTCAGGTTCCAATATCTCCTCAGCAAGGAAGAAGACAGCGGCGGACATACTCATCCTGAGTACGGGGGTCCGTCACAAAACTAATAAAGTATATAAATTTATTTAGTTGATAACAAAATTGTCTGTTTATATCTTGCTGCCAGTGAGCGGGTGCAATAGCCAGCCTACTGTTGGCTATTGCAATTTGAAATAGCGAATAGCAGGCTGGCTATTGTACCCACCCACTGTGCAGAAGAGCGGACCTGAGAGAGAACTTTCTCCGGTCCCCTCCTCTGCTCTGTGGGTGGGGTTTCAATAGTCAGCCTGCTGTTGGCTATTTCAGATTGCAAAAGCAGGCTGGCTATTGCACCAGCCCACTGAGCAGGGGAGCGGACCTGAGAGATAACTTTCTGTCCGCTCCAATGCTCAGTGGGCGGGTGCTCCTCCTTCCCTCCCAACCTTCCTTCTATCTTCTACCTCTT